CTGATATTGAGTTGTATTAAATTAAATCCTGAAAAACAAATATCACAGCAAATCATGCAGAAATAATAAAAACACATTTAATTTAATCAAAGAACTAAGCTTTCCAAATCCACAAACAGGATGAACATTATTTTTATTGATTATTGGTGCTTGCAGTAAATTATACAAGAGAATTTCTATCCAAATGGCTGCTTACTCAAGAAAGCTATATCTACAGGTGATGATTGATGTACGGTGTGTATTGTGTGTGATTCTGGAAATGATGGTAACCCTGAGAGTTCGAATCTTCAACCTCCTCCTCCTCCTCATCGTCATGAATAAGATTGTGCAGCGTTTTTTCAAGAAATATCCACAGAAAGATTTGAGGGACGCTTCAAACTTTGAAAGTGCTTCCGAAATGCATTTGGTCAACAAAAGAAAATGGCGTTAAAGGAAGAGTTGGCAGAATCAGCAAGTCCCTCGTATGACTTCAGCTTTTGGAGATGCTGACATAAGAGTTTCAGTTCATTATGTGCAGGAAAGAAGAGAGAACTGAACTGTTGTTTGAATGCCCAGTGCAAATAAGCAACAAAAAGAGGGCCATTTGTTTATCACATGCTGTACAATGTATTTTTTAAATAAATGCAGCCAGTAAATGTTAATGATTAGACAAAACGCATGCATCGTCTGTTAATTTAACAGACTTCTTTTACATTATTGAATCACACCTTCTGATTAACTGAATATTTAAACTGTCCTTAAAGGGATAGTTCACTTACTCCCTCCTCTGGTTTTAACTAAGGCTGTGCGATTGATTTAGGGGTGCCAAAACTCGGTCCTAAAGGGCCGGTGTCCTGCAAAGTTTACTTCCAACCCCAATTAGACACACTTGGGCTAGCTAATACAGCTCTTACTAGGCCAGAGGTGTCCAAACTCTGTCCTGGAGAGCCGGTGTCCTGGAGAGTTTATCTCCAACTCACTTCAACACACCTGCCAGGAAGTTTCTAGTACAGGGGTGTCCAAAATCTGTCCTGGAGGGCCGGTGTCCTGCATGGTTTAGCTCCAACTTCCTTCAACACACCTACCTGGAAGTTTCTAGTATACCTAGAAAGAGCTTGATTAGCTGGTTCAGGTGTGTTTAATTGGGGTTGGAGCTAAAATCTCCAGGACACCGGTCCTCCCGGACCAAGTTTGGACAACCCTATTCTAGGCTTTCTAGAAACATCCGTGCAGGTGTGGTGAGGCAAGTTGGAGCTAAAATCTACAGGAGACCGGCCCTCCAGGACCAAGTTTGGGCACACTTGAATTAATAGAAATCATGAATTGAACATGCGCGCCTTACAGCACGGTTTCCAACAGTATGCTATTTGAACCAATCATAGAGCAGTACTTCTAAACAAAGGGCTTGGGTCTTCACGTGAACACAGCTGCTGCGCTCGTGCATCCAGGTTAATCATGATCAACTCAGTGCGCATGCGCTAGTTGCACTAATGCGGTATGTATGAGTATGATTATGTAAAACTCCATATAGATACATATTGTACTTAGCGATGCACGCACACATAACGTTATATGCACAATCCTTTAATGCTCTGCTGATTTGGACTCTATAATAACTGTTTTATAACTTTAAACTATCAACAACCACTACGTTCTTTCCGCTCCGTGGTGGATTTTGGCATAGTCCATTTCACGTGAGATGGCGGGGGTGAGTGGAAGAAACCAAGTCGCGGGGGGAATATTTTCTACAGAAATAATTTATGATTTCTTATGTGGCTCAGTACCAATTGTTCCACGGACAGGTACCAGTCCGCGGCCCGGTGGTTGCGGACCACTGTGATAGAGGAAGGCTGATGTATCGCAGAATCAGGTAATTTGTTAGTCACATTTCGCGTCTAAATGGGCGTGGAAAGCATGAGGTACGTCGCTTCCTTCAACTTCAACGCGATATGCGCTCATTTGTCGTTGCACGGCACCCATCAACTCTTTTCTCAGAGGATGACAAACTAACAAAACATTGCCGCAGCTCTGAAACAAGCTTTATTTATGGAGAAAATCAAAAAGCACTGGGTGTTTGGGTGTTCTGTGTGTCTGAGGTAATTAATTCTACCGAAATGTGAATATTAAGTGATGCAGTGGCACAGTGGGTAGCACAATCGCCTTACAGCAAGAAGGTTGCTGGTTTGAGCCTCGGCTGGGTCAGTTGGCGCTTCTGTGTGGAGTTTGTCTGTTCTTCCCGTGTTCACGTGGGTTTCCTCTGGGTGCTCAGTCCAAAGACATGCGGTACAGGTGAATTGGGTCCTAAATTGTCCATAGTGAATGTGTGATTGAGTGTCAGATTCTCAGTTTTGGGCTTTAGGTTGAAGTGCATCCGCAGTGTTAAACATGTGCTGGTTAAGTTAGCGGTTCATTCCGCTGTGGCGACCCCAGATTAATAAAGGGACTAAGCCGAATAGAAAATGAATGAAATGTATATAATATTCTATACAAAGTATGAAGTTGATCGCTCAGTTGTTGTTACATGACTCCCGGTGCGCTTGCAGCATTCTGAAAAGTAGAGATGTTTTCAACTGGGTGTACATGGAATATGCGCATGCGTCACCCCCAATATGCAAGCAAGCCTTTAAAGGAAATAACAGACTTGTGCGTGCAAAAGACGTGATATATGAACGGACTATTTCACGGCAGCATCACAAAGAGGTCTATGATCTGAGCCTGGCAAAAAAAAAAAATCTGTGGACACATACAAAACTACTTTTGACATGATCAAACAGAACATCGGAGTCTTGTGTTTGACGGAGCACACACACACACAGTCTATTTATTTGTTTTGCCATAGGTCTGCTCTAGCGACCATTAGTAGGTAATTTTTATTTACTTGTTGCCTCATATCTGTTTTAGAGACATGTTACAGGTCTTTGATAAAGATCTAATTGTTTTCACACTGTAAAACCTCTGTGTGTTTGTGTGTGTGTGTGTCAAAGTCAGGATTAAAATTAAAATCGCAATACTGTTGAAGAAAACCATGATAGGTTTCTTTTGTCCATATCGCACAGCCCTAGTTTTAACCCTTTACGGTTTTCTTTCTGCTGTTAAACACAAAAGAAGACATTTTGAAGAATGAAGGTTGCTGGCACTTATTGACCTCCAAAGTAGGAAAACATTTACTATGGAAATCAGTAGGTACCATCAATCAGCATTCTTCAAAATATCTTCTGTCAAGTTTAACAGAAACAAATAGGTTTTGAACAAGTAAAAGGTCAGAATCTTTTTTTTTCATGAACTATTTCTTTAAATGCAGAAGAGTGATAGAGAAAATGAATCATGAATAAAACATGCTCCCTGAGAATTGGATCTCATTCCAACCAAATAGGACTTACCCAAAAAGCAATTCTGTAAGGTTTTTTATTTCAATATAACTTTTTTTGGTGAACTGAACCAATATTTTATAATATTAAACATTATAAATCATATATTATATTTGTTTTTCTCTCAAAATGGGACTAACAAAATGGTAAGTTGTGGATATTTTTTTCTTCCACTGTGTCTGCTTGGCAAAAGTCCCCTCCCCCAAAAAAATGTACCGAGCACCAACCTTTAAGTGCTGAATGTAAAATAATATAGTCCACTGTAATGCATGACGTCATGCAAAATATCAAGCGTGCTGAATCAGTAACAGTCTCGCCGCAGTCGACAAAAAGAGCAATAAACGCATTTGAGAGTGCTTATTCACAGAAAAGGAAATAGAAGTCCAGCAAAAACTGAATTCTGTTTAAATGTTAAAGGGACAGTACACCCAATTATTGACATTTACCGTTCGTTAATTCACCTGCAGGCAATCCAAAATGTAGGTGACTTGTTTTAAAGCATTAAAGAGGAATATTAGCACAAATTGTGGTGCTTGTGAATTTATATATAACACGATTGGATGTCAATGACCAACTTAACTTTTATAGTAAAAAATAAAGAATTCAGGCAAAACTAAATGAATACCCATGCCTCCTAATGATACACTGAGGTCTTCTAAACCGATCTAATTGGCCTGTGCAAGAAACTAAACATTATTTACAAACTGTTAACTTTAACTAATGTAAAAAATGTTTAGTTTCTCAATGTATTGCCAGAGCTATGGGTATTAAAAAGATAGTTCACCCAAAAATTAAAATACTGTTGCTGAGCCTTAGTTTCAAACTGATTGGGTTTCTTTCTTCTGTTGAACACAAAAGAAGATATTTTGAGAAATGCTGGTTGCTGAGACCCATTGACTTCAATAGTATTTTTTTTCCTACTATGGAGGTTAATAAGTGCTAGGAAAAAAACACATTTTCAGTATATCTTCTTTTTTGTGTTCAACAGAAGAAAATCAAATAGGTTGAAAACCACATGAGGGATAATAAACGATGGGGTAATGTTTCATTTTTAGGGGAACTAACTCTTTAATTATCTTAATAATGTACCAATAGTAGTTGACTTGCACATTTTTTAATTACTGTTAGAGCATTAGAAAGGAATATTAGCACAAACTGTGGTCCTTGTGAATTTATATATAAAACAAAAATGAAAATACTGTCTTCATTTGCTCATTCCTAATTAGTTCAAAACCGATTGGGTTTCTTCTGTTGAACACAAAAGAAGATGTTTTGAGAAATGCTGGTTGCTGGTACCCATTTACTTCAATAGTAATTTCTTCCTATTATGGAGGTTAATAAGTGTCAGACAAAAAACAACATTTTTCAGTATATTTTCTTTTGTGTTCAACAGAAGAAATTCAAATAGGTTTGAAACCACATGAGGGACAATAAACGATGGGGTAATGTTTCATATTTGGGTGTACTATGCTTTTAATTATCTTAATGATAGTAGTTACCCAGCAAGCATTTTTTGTTTTCAAAAGATGTCTAATAGACGTCTAAACATAGTGGTCTTGGCTAACACAAGGCTAAATTTGGGCTGTCAGTGAAAATCTAATAGACGTCTAGAAATAGACCAAAACTAGACTAGTCATCAAATACACAGAAATGAATGACTACACATATAAAACCTGTCTATTTGATGACTAGTCTAATTTTGGCCTATTCGTAGATTCAAATTAGATTTTCACTGACAGACCAAGTTTACCCATGTTTCAGCCGAGACGACAATGTTTAGATTAATGTCTATTAGACATTAACTTTTAAAAACAAAAAAATGCTTGCTGGGTATCTACTATCGGTACATTATTAAAATAATTAAAGGGTTAGTTCACAGAAAATTGAAACATTACCCCATTGTATCCCTCATGTGGTTTCAACCCTATTTGAATTTATTTCTTCTGTTGAACACAAATAAAGATATACTGAAAAATGTTGCTGACACCTTTTGACCTTTATATTAGGAAAAAAATTACTACTGAAGTCAATGGGTCCCAGAAACCAGCATTTTTCAAAATATCTTCTTTTGTGTTTAGTAGAGGAAAGAAACCCAATCGGTTTGGAACTAGCTAAAGGTGAGCAAATAATGACAGTATTTTCTATTTGGGGGAACCATCTCTTTAATAGCTGTCAACATTTAGATGTATATTAGACGTCTATTAAAAAAATTTGTTTGCTGGGTAACTTGCATGTTTTTAATTACTGTGAACCACAATGTCATAACAAAAACTTCTCTAATGATCTAGTGAAACAAAGAAAAATCACCAACATCTTGTATTGCTTGAAGGTGGGTAAACTAAAAATGAAAGGATAAACTATCCCTTTAAAAACAACTTAATTTATAAATATTATTTTTAATATTAATTTATTATGTTTTTCTCACTTTGTTGGAGTCGAATAGTACAATTACTCTCCAACAATCCTTCAAAAAAAAGTTAAATTTTTTTACCCCGCTTTTCTTCCTGAGTGAACGAAAGCCAAAAATAAAACAGGATGTCAAAAACACATCCTCTTGTTTTTCAATTAAGTGCTCTGGCTCGAAGTGCATTCGCCTTGAACGTAATTGTTACCGTTAGCGTTCTCTTTATGGCCATGGTTTGAACCGGAAAAGCAGTCGTCCGAATGAAAGTGCGCAGAGATCTGGTTGTAGCAGAGCAGGACGAGCTGCCTCTCCTCGGGGCTGTAGTCCAGCGAGTGAGGGTGAACTTGTAGGATGTGTCTCTTGATAGTGCTAACCTTTAGCGTAGCGAGCGTTGCGCCGCACACCATGCAAATCAATCCGTGTTTCCTGCAGTCGTAGTCCATCAAGAAGTCCATCTTCCATCGTGGCTGGTAGTTGCGTCGCTGGTCTTTCCCCGGGTAGTGTCTGTGCCGCCCTGCTGTCTGTGTTTGTAGTGTGATTTGTGTGCTGTTGTCTTCTGCTTCTCCACCTTGCTCTATGGATTTCACAGGCGATGCTTGTGGTTCTGTGGTGACAGGGACACTTTGTGGATCTACTACAGCAAACAGGGAAAAAATTAAAAGAGAGAGAAATATTAATGATCTGCAGCAACAAGATATTTGATTAAGAGCAGGATCACAATGAAAAAACTAATACATGGCTCATTCAAAAACTCTAAGATTTCACAGAGCTATAAGCAAACTGACACTGTTAGAATGCTAAGTAAAAACAAAGCAAGCAAGTTTCTAAAAGGAACACTTCATTAATTTATTCGGCTTAGTCCCTGATTTATCAGAGGTAGCCACAGCAGAATAAACCGCCAACTGTTCTGGCATTGTTTTATGCAGCGGATGCTCTTCCAGCCGCAACACAATAATGGGAAACAAACACACAATCATACACACACACACACTTAAACACCACGGCCAGTTTAGCTTATCTAATTCACAAATAGCGCATGTCTTCGGACTGTGGGGGAAACCTAAGCATGCAAAGGAAACGCACATGAACATGGGGAGAACATGCAAACTCAACACAGAAATGCCAACTGGCCCAGCCGGGACTGGAACCAGCGACCCTCTTGCTGTGAGGCGACAGTGCTAAGCAATGAGCCACTGTGCAGCCCAGAACACAACTTTTTTGGAAATAAGCTCATTTTACAACTCTTTAGCTTAGCTTAGCATAACCAATTGAATCAGGCTAGACTATATATATTATATATATATATACACACACACACACACAATATACTATATATACAGTTGAAGTCAGAATTATTAGCCCCCCAGAATTACTTTATTAGCGCCCCTGTTTTTTTCCCCCCAATTTCTGTTTAACGAAGAGATTTATTCAACACGTTTCTAAACATAATAGTTTGAATAACTCATTTCTAATAGCTGATTTATTTTATCTTTGCCATGATGACAGTAAATAATATTTGACTAGATATTTTTCAAGACACATCTATACAGCTTAAAGTGACATTTAAATTCTTAACTAGGTTAATTAGGTTAACTAGGCAGGTTAGGGTTATTAGTCAAGTTATTGTATAACGATGGTTTGTGCTGTAGACTATCGTAAAAATATATATAGCTCAAATGGGCTAGTAATTTTGACCTTAAAATTGTGTTAAAAATTAAAAACTTCTTTTATTCTAACCCAAATAAAACAAATAAGACTTTCTCCAGAAGAAAAAATATTATCAGACATACTGTGAAAATATCCTTGCTCTGTTAAACATCATTTGGGAAATATTTAAAAATAAAACAAATATTTTAAAGAGGAAATTAATCATTCTGATTGCAACTGTTTATATATTTTCTTTCGAGCAAGATGCTAATAGCCTAAACTGATTCAATGATTTATGCTAAGCTAATGAATAGTGTTCTCGACACACCCAAAGATTGGTTGAATGGATTAAAAAAATGGTAAAAACGTAACCGTTTAACCATGTAGAACTGTTTAAATAGTGGAATGTTACTTTAAATTACATTTATGAACATTTTAATGATTAGGTACATTATAAACATCTTTGTATATTGAATATATTTGCATCCTTAAAAACTGTATATTTACCCGAGGTTTAATTTCGACTTTTAAGCTTCTAAAATATGTCATTTAAAGGACAATAACAGATACAATTTCATAATTAATACACCATAATTGTTTTTGGATGCTTTAAACAAGATAAGACAAGAAAAGCAAAGGCTAACAAAAACCAGTGAAGAAAAAAGTTAAGGTTTTATATTTTTTGCGTGATATGCAATATAAGTCATTTAACATACAGAATATTTTTATGATTTAGTACATTTATGAAAAACTACATCCTTAAAACAAGATAAATTTACTTTAGTTTTAGAGATTTAGCTTGCTAAGCAAAGGCTAACTATAGTGAAATGTTTAGATTTAATATTTTTTTATCTTGATATGAAAAATAAATATGTAATTTTAAGGACTTTTTTAATATCAGGTGCATCATGAAAAGCTTGATATGCTTAAAATAAATTTCCCAGAGATGCTAAATGCTCCGTTAACATTTCAAGCTGTAAGCTTGATGCTAACTAAATGAAAGATAAATGTTTGGCTAATTTAAACTTCTTGAAAAAAAATTAAAATGTGATTTAAAAGAACATTATAAACCGATTAAGCGTATTAATCAATATATTTATTAAAACAAGATACATTCAACATTTAGGGCCCTATCATACACCCGGCGCAGTGTGGCGCAAGGCGTGACCCAGTAGTGTTTTGGTAGTTTAAGCTTGGCGCAAGAGTCGTTTTGAGGCGTTGCGCTACGCTGTTTAAATAGCAAATGTATTAGCGCTCATTTTGGCGCCCATAGGCGTTCTGGTCTAAAAAGGAAGGCGTTCTGAGGTGGACTGCTAGCACGTCTCTATTTTGACAAACTACAATAGATTTTTCATTAGACCAAAACTAACCCGGTCTAAACTCAGGCGCAGAGTTGCGCCTCGCTTACACACTGCTTAATACGCACAAGAGAGCAATAGGCAAATATCTTTACATATGAAAAAAATTTAATATTTTTTAATTATTTTTTAATAATTAATATTAAGGATATATATAGTATATAATAAGAATAGATATAGAATATAAATATAAAGGATTAAAATATTACAAAACATTATTTTCTAGCCTACATAAATATGAAAAACCACTGCTTTTATGTCTTCTTCATCTCGGGAGGCTTTTTCAGTTCATTCATAACAATTTGCTTTCGTATAATGTTATTATTATTAGCAGTATTATTTATTATACCCATATTTATATTTGTTTTATTAAAAACAAGCTTAGATTTGCCCACCTGTCAGGTTTTAGACCATATGGGGCACAGCATGTGTTTTAGGATATAACTCAGGTTTTTGAGCACATTTTCCTATTATTATTCATTTATTCATTTGCTGGAAATTAGAACTGAATTTAGAAATAGTTTTGAAATTAATATTTGCACTTAACAAACAAAATTGTTTATTTATAGGCTAATTGATGTCTGTGCATAAAGGTTCCCCTATCCAAGAGCGAAAGTGAAAGTGATCCATTATCTCTCATTCTCACGCAGTAGATGCTCTGTTTAACAGTTTTCTGTTAAAAAACTGTTAACTGTTTGCTTGTGAAATGCTCATTTTTTCCACTTAGACTTACTTTGCGTCCTGTAAATAGCGAATGCGCTCTTGGCGCGACGCAGCTGACTCTTAAAGGGAATGGGAGATGAGATTCTAATTGGTTTATTCTCAAAACACACCTATAACTCATTAAGAAAATAAACTCAACCCTTTTAGATCATGCGCCGAAGCGCAAGGCAGATTTCCCGTCCTTAAATTAGCAAAAATGCGTCCTGACACGCCCTGAAAGCATTTGCGCCCTGCGTTTTGCACTTTGCGCATGGACCGTCAAAATAGAGCCCTTAATCATTTTCAAGCTGTTAGCTTAGCCTACTCAGCAAAGGCTAACTGACAACACTAGAGACAAGAAAGGTATTACAGTACATCTTTTAAATTTTCTATTTTTCATTAAAATTACATTAATAAATTTTTTAATGATTCAGTATATCGTGAATGAATCAATAAAACGATAAATTTACCTCAGAAAATATCCTTCAGTTTTCAGAGTCAATTTTGCATTTAAATTCTTTTTATTTAGTTGAAAAAGTCTATTAATAAAGCATTTACAGTAATGGCAGTTTGTTATTTATTATTTTTTATTTATTTATTTTGTGTCTGTACGCACCATCCTCTTTTGGTGTGGCTCTGTCGATGTTCTCCTCCTTCATCCAGGCATTGACCACAGCATCTCTCTCGCTCCGGCTCAGGCTGCTGGTCTCCGGATGACACTCCTGAATGTGTTTGCGGAAGTTTGTGACCCTCGGCACAGGCAGGTGTTCAGAGCACACCATACAGTAGCAAAGGGGGTTTTCTGGAGGGCCGTATGCCACTAAATAATCCAGTCGGAGGCGCCAGGGGCTGCCGTACTTCAGCCTTCTCTTTCGGGGGTAATAAGGTAAAGATTGGGATCTCTGAACAGTGTCTGATGGATTCTCGTCTCCTCTTGTGTAACTCTCCAAGTTTCCCTGAACAGGATCCATGATTGGAGGGAAAAATGATGCCGCACCGTCCAAGTTTATTTCTTTGGTATGTTGTTCCAACTTGATTTGCGGTTGTAAAGGGTGGGATTCTGTGAGATAATTGAGAAATGCAGAAAGACATTTATTAAGATTAAGAAGCATGAGTAATGCGAGTTATGCATGGGGGTTTTATCATTTTCACAGAGGCATCCAAAACAACCGACTGAATAAACAGACTTTATTATGTCTAAACTTTTAAACAGGGTTAAGGAATATTGCAATTGTAAATGACTTTGACTAAGAATGTAGCTGTTGCCAGAGCCATTTGATCATATTAAATGGATCAGAAGGACTATAAAAGTCTTGTTAAAATGTAAGCTATTTCTTATTTGGTGTTGTTCTAAATAAACTATTTCACATTACAGATGTTCACGTTTACATGTTCTTCCTGTGATCGTGTGGGTTTCCTCCGGGTGCTCCCCAAAGGTCCAAGGACATGTGGCACAGGTGAATTGATTAAACTAAATTGGCCATAGTGCATGTGTGTGAATGCAAGAGTGTATGGGTGTTTCCCAGTGATGGGTTGTGGCTTGAAGGGCATCCGCTGTTTAAAACATATGCTGGATAAGTTGGCGGTTCATTGCGCTGTGGTCACCCCAGAGTACCCGGAAGAAACCCACGTGAACATGGGGAGAACATGCAAACTCCACACAGAAATGTCAACTGACCCAGCTGAGGCTCGAACCAGCGACCTTCTTGACGCGAGGCGTTTGTGCTACCCACTGCGCCACTGTACTGCCCAATTACTTGTTATCTCAACTTATTTTATTTGATATCAAGATTAAATATAGGAACAAATTATATATATATATATATATATATATGTATATGTATACATGTGTGTGTGTGTATATATATATATATATATATATATATATATATATATATATGTGTGTGTGTGTGTGTGTGTATGTATATATATATATATATATGCAATTTATTATATAATATACTGTATATTCCCTCTTACATTAAACGTATACCAAAACGTAACAAATATCTTTAGTTATATCAAATAACTTTTAACCTTGTAAGAACAAAAGGTCTCTTAATAACGGCTAATGCTTTCTTTTTTACAATGCAACAAATCCATTACACTGTAAAGATATTTTACCCTATTTTTTAAAACTGCATAACATTTAGCATACAAAGTATTTATACATACTGAAATGTGGTCTGTTTGGTTGCGTCTCTTACCTTCACTGTGCATCTTGGCCCAGGTCTGCAGGATGGCATGTTTTTCCTCAGCGCTGTACAGCAGAGAGTTGGGGTGCAGCTCCAGCATGTGGCTTTTGATGTGATCCAGGTGCAGAGAAGGCAACAGGCAGCTGCACACCATGCACACGAGACGGCCCTGCTCCGCCTGGTACTCCATCAGGAACTCCTGCCGAAACCAGGCGTGCAGCGAGTCATTCAGGTAGCGCTCCATTACCTGAGCTGTGGGCCCCGGACTGAGCTCCTGCACTGAGGGAGCCGGAGGAGACGGAGAGACCCTGCTGAGACCAGCCTGAGCTTGGGGGTCTGGAGAGCTGGCACCAATAGGCTTATCTAGAAAAGACATGAAGAGCAAAGGTCTTAACATGTTTTTTCTAAAGTTTATTTGGAAATGTGCTAATAATTTGCTAAAACATGCATGTATAATATGCTGAAATGTGTTTAAAAAATCTAACTATTTACATACTACAACATGCTAGACATGCTAACACATGTTAGAAACTGCTATGCTAGAAATGTGCAAAAACATGTTTAAAGATAATAAGATTACGGTAAAACAAAATGTTTAAATACTAACAGCAATGTTATGTTAACAATTACCTAAATCCATCCATCTGTTTGTCTGTCTGTTTATCGTAGTCTTAGCAGTTACTATTGAAATGCTAGAAATGTGCTAAAACATATTAAAAAAAGATAACGGTATTATGTTAAAACAAAATGCTAACAGCAGTGTTATGTTAACAATAAGCTAAAATCCATCCGTCTGTCTATCTGTCATTCAACGTCTTAGCAATTGCTAGAAATGCTATAAATGTGCTAAAGTAGGAATAGCATTATGGTAAAACAATATGTTAAGAAATGCTAACAGCAATGTCATGTTAACAGCTAAATTTCATCCGTCGGTCGATATGTCTGTCAGTCTGTTTATCAACGTCTTGGCAATTAAAATAGAAGTGTTAAAGCATGTTAGAGACAGATAATAGCACTACGGTAAAACAAAATGTTTAACAATGCTATGAACAATGTAATGTTAACAATTAGCTAATATCCGTCTGTTTGTCTATTTAATAAATTCTTAGCAATTACTATGCTAGAAATGTGCTAAAACATGTAGAAAAGATAATAGCATTATGGTCAGTCTGTTTATCAACGTCTTAGTAATTGCTATAAAATTGCTAGAAATGTGCAAAAACATGTTGCAAAGATAATAGCAATATGATAAAACAAAATGTTTAAAAATGCTAACAGCAATGTTATGTTAATATTTAGCTAAATCCATCCATCCGTTTGTCTGTCTGTTTTTCATAGTCTTAGCAGTTGCTATAGAAATGCTAGAAATGTACTAAAGCATGTTAGATAGATACTAGCACTACGGTAAAACAAAAAGTTTAAAAATGCTAACAAGCAATGTTATGTTAACAATTAGCTAATAACCTGTCTGTTTATCTATTAAAGTCTTAGCAATTGCAATAGAAATGCTAGAGATGTGATTAAGCATGTAGATATGATAATATCATTAAACGATATGTTTAAAAATGCTAACAGCAATGTAATGTTAACTATTAGCTTTAGTCTGTCTGTCTGTCTGGCTTAGCCATTGGAATAGAAATGCTAGTTATGTGCTAACATGTTGGAAAGATAGCATTATAGTAAAACAAAATGTTTAAAACTGATAACAGCAAAGTATTGTTGACAATTAGCTAAAATCCATCCGTCTGTCTGTCGGTCAACATATTAGCAATTGCTATAAAAATGATAGAAATGTGCTAAACCATGTTGGAAAGATAACAGCATTTATGTTAAGAAAATGCTAACACCAATGTTATTCTAACATCTACCTAAAATCCATCCGTCCTTCTATCTATATTTTAGAAATTGCTATAAGATGTTAGAAATGAGGTATGAGGCTTAGTCCCTTTATTAATCTGGGGTTGCCATAGCAGAATGAACCGCCACCTTATCCAGCATATGTTTTACGCAGCGGATGCCCTTCCAACTGCCATCCAGTACTGGGAAACACCCATACACTCCAACATTCACACACATACACTACAGTCAATTTAATTTATTCAATTCACCTTTAGCGCATGTCTTTGGACTTGTGAGGGAAACTGGAGCACCCGAAGGAAACCCACGCAAACATTGGGAGAACATGCAAACTCCACACAGAAATTCCAACTGACCCAGCCGAGGCTCGAACCAGTGACCTTCTTGATGTGAGGCAAAAGAGCTACTCATTGCACCACCGTGTCGCCCCAATTAGACTTGTAGCTAAATATATAAATATATAACCCTGTAGTCTTATATTGCCCATGGATATTTCTGGGAATAGACAAAAATACATTGTGTGGGTCGAAAATATAGATACTTTTTTGCCAATGTTTGCATGTTCTCCCCCGCGTTCGGTTTCCCCCACAGTCCAAAGACATGCAGGTAAACTGGGTAGGCTCAATTGTCCCTAGTGTATGAGTGTGAATGAGTGTATATGAATGTTTCCCAGAGATGGGTTGCAGCTGGAAGGGCATACGTTGCGTAAAACATATACTGGATAAGGTGGCGGTTCATTACACTGTGGCAACCAAAGATTAATAAAGGGACTAAGCCGAAAAGAAAATTAAATGAAGTAAAGATTGTGTACATTTTGTACTGTTAAACACATCAAACCATGATGTCTGTTTAGTAATATGCATTACTAAGTAACAACATTAAAGGAAGTGTTCTCAATATTTAAATTCTTTAACCCTCAAATTCCAGAATTCCCAATAGTTCGAAATACTGTCCTATCCTAACAAACCATACATTAGTGAGGAACTTAATTAAGCACTTTCAGAAAATGTATCAACCTCAATTTAAAAAATGGACACCAATGACTGTCCAAGATCACATAAATAAAAATATATGAACCCAAACCTGTGGAGTGCCTGTCCACATCCAGAATCTCCTCTGCCTCTGGAGGAACATCTGGATCGGTGCATAACGGCCTCTGTTGGCTGTTCTCCCGATTCAGATGATTCTCCCATCCCGACCGGATCACATCCTTATCCGACTCGGTCCAAAGCAGCGAATACGGATGCTTCTGTTTAATGTGCCTCTTGATGGTGCTTAGCTTTAGGGTCGCCAGTGAACTTCCACACACCATGCAGATCATGCCTTGTCTCTGCGGGTCGAAGTCCATGAGGTATTCGCTGCGCCAGTACTCGTGGTAGTAGCGGCGGTGGTCACGGCCAGGAGTGTTCTTTAATGGAGGGGTTTCCTGTGTTGATGGTCCTGGAAGGGGATTGAGAAGGAAAGGGGAGTCGGTGCTCTCCGAGACACACCAGTAACTAGTGCCTGGAGAGCAAACAGAGGAGACGGGACCATCCTGAATAGCATCAGATGTGAGGCCATTGGTCACTTCCTCTTCACCTGGAGAGGACACAGAAAAATGAGTCACACATGATGTCTCATATTTGATCACAGTAAATAATAATAAGAATAATAAACTTTATTTTCTAGGCAAAGCAAGGCAAGTTTATTTATAAAGCACATTTCATACACCATGGTAATTCAAAAGTGCTTTACATAAATAAGAATAAAAGAAACAGGAAAATAAAAATTATTAGAGTTAAAAATAATTAAAACAGATGAAAACAGATTGAAATGTGTTAAAACAGGGTGTAAAAAGAATAAAAAAAGAAAAGAAAGACATAATAGTGTGATCTGTCGGACTCAGAGTGCTCATTTAGCAAAGGCACAGCTAAATAGATGTGTTTTCAGTCTTGAATGTGCCTAATGTTGGAGCATATCTGATCATTCCTGGAAGCTGATTCCAGCAGCAAGGGGCGTAGTAGCTGAAGGTGGATTCACCCTGCTTGGACTGAACTTCTAATTTACTTGATCCTAATGATCTGAGTGATCTGTTAGGTTTGTATTCAGTGAGCATATATGTAATGTATTGAGGTCCTAGGCCAGGCATGTCCAAACTCGGTCCTGGAGGGCCGTTGTGCTGCAAAGTTTAGTTCCAACCCCAATCAGACACACCTGGGCTAGCTAATCAAGCTTTTACTACGCTTTTTAGAAACAATTTGCCTCAACACACCTGCAAGGATGGACTTAAAATCTGCAGGACACCGGCCCTCCAGGATCAAGTTTGGACATCCTTTCCAAGGCCCTTTAGTGATTCATAGACAAGTAGTAATACTTTAAAATCTATTTTGAATGTAACTGGGAGCCAGTGTAAAGACCTGAGGACAGGTGTGACGTGTTCTGATTTCCTGGTTCTAGTCAGAATCCTGGCAGCAACATTCTGGTTGAGCTGCAACTGTCTGACTGTCTTTTTAGGAAGGCCAGTGAGGAGTCCATTACAGTAATCCACCCTGCTGCTGATAAAAACATGAACAAGTCCTCACTGGAAATAAAGCATCTGATTCTTGCAATGTTTTTGAGATGATAGTATGCTGATTTAGTTACTGCTTTGACATGGCTACTGACACTCAGATCTGACTCCAGATTCTTGACCTTATTTTTTGTTGTTTGACCCTTAGAATCAAGGTACACATTCACCTTGAGAACCTCATCTCTGTTCCTGAATGCAATGACTTCTATAGTGTCATCTCAAAGCACTTTACACAGAATAAAATAAAAATAGAAAGAGTAAAGACAAAAGCCATTATACTAATAATAAATGGTAAAGAGCATCACTAAGACATCACTTAATGGCCATTCGTAAAGAAATGCGTTATACTAATACTAAGATGTTGCCTGTCTGATGTCAGCAGAGAGAGAGTTATATTATATTTAATTATAGGTAAATATAAAATAAATGCTTATACTCATGGAGATGGATGTTAAGATATAAATGTGTTCATGCAAGAGATAATCTGTCTATGGTATATTCAGGTCATACCTGAATAATATGTGTGTGTTGTATTGGAAATTATTTATTTATTTATTACTTATTTAGTTGATTACTAAGATAGTATTTTCATAAAAAATATATTTAGTACTGATTTGTTCCTTAAAATATTTAAATTATGCCTTACACTTTGCGATGTACAGATTATTTTATTCGTATTTCATTAAAAATAAAATATTAACGTTTTATATTGAACATAACACGTATATATTATATTATCCAATTGGCGACATGGTGGCTCAGTGGTTAGCACAGTCGCCTCACAGCAAGAAGGTCGCTGGTTTAAGCCTCGGCTGGGTCAGTTGGCATTTTTGTGTAGAGTTTGCATGTTCTTCCTGTGTTGGCGTGGGTTTCTGCCGGGTGCTCCGGTTTCCCCACACTATAAAAGACATGCGCTATAGCTGAATTGAATTAACTAAATTGGCCATAGTGTATGAGTGTGCATGTGAGAGTGTGCTGTGTTGCAGCTAGAAGGGCATAAGTTAGCAGTTCATTCCGCTGTGGCAACCCCTGATAAATAAAGGGACTAAGCTGCAGGAAAATGAAAAAGTGAATTATATAATCCAATTAGTGTATTAATAGATTTAAAAATGTATGTTCAAAATGTTGTTATTATTATTATCAATATTATTTTTATGGTAGCAGTAGTATTTTGTCAGACTAAACTTAGAAAAAAATTGCAAATGACTTTGCATTTCACAAAGAACATTCATAGTAATAATAATAATCATTAATAAAATAAAAACTTGTCCTAATGAACCCTAAATAATGATTAATATTCATTATTATTATTATTATTATTATCATCAATATCATCAGTTTTTTTTCATATTTTATTTATATTCACCATTTTTTTTTTAAATACGCTGTCAGCATATATTTAAATTACTACTAATAATATAGTATAATAATTAGAACCCTGTTACTCATAGACTGAAATTCATTCTTACATATTTTAGTTCATTATTCATTCCTTTTCTTTTTCAGTTTAGTCCCTTTATGCATCTGGGGCGCCACAGCGGAATGAACTGCCAACCAGCATATGTTTTATGCAGTGAATGCCCTTCCAGCTGCAACCTATACACCCACACACTCATTCACAGACAATTTAGCTTACCCAATTCACCCCTATCGCATGTCTTTGGACTTGTGGGGGAAACCGGAACACCCGGAGAAAATCCTCGCGAACACTGGGAGAACATGCAAACTTCACACTGAAATGCCAACTGACCCAGCCGAGGCTCGAACCAGCGACCTTCTTGCTGTGAGGAGAATATTGTAGTTGTATTTAGTAATTAGCAGCCTAAATAGGCAAAGTATTTTTAATTTCAGATTTTTTTTTAAGTATTGCCTTCCATGGTATATATATAAACACAACTATTTGGCAATTTGTGCATAGATCTGTAAATAAGTTGTTAATAATAATGATTAATAATTAAATTACTCAATTCAATTCAGCTTTATTTGTATAGCGCTTTTACAATGTAGAATGTGTCAAAGCAGCTTCACATAAAGGGTCATAGTAACTGGATCAGGGTAGTTCGGTTTTTAGTGTTTAAGTTCAGTTCAGTTTAGCTCAGTTCAGTGTGTGTTAAAGTCATTACTGAGAGTCCAAACACTAAAGAGCAAATTCATCGATCTGTAGCTCTACCGATCCTGAACCATGCAAGCCAAAGGCGACAGTGGAGAGGGAAAAAAAACTTCACTAATAGGAGAGTGAAGGAAAAAAAAAAACCTTGAGAGAAACCAGACTCTGTTGGGCACTGAATCTATCAAATTAATAATGATAGCAGTACTAAAAAGAGATATCAATGTCCTGGTGAATCAATATAATTACATTTTATGCACAAGCTTGTAAACAATATATTATGTAATTATTGTATTATATAAAAAATTGTGAAAGGCAGAAGTTGTGTATTTTCCTATGTTGACTACAAGAAGGGGGCGGCGGCGTTGGTGCAGTACCGCCGTCTTTCCTCTAGATGGCGACAGCGCATAGCGTATACACATATGCAGCATGGGTTATTTAGCCTTTGTTTATAGTGGAGCCCAAAAGATTAGGGGCCATGCCGCTGCGTGCTATTGTTCGCCACGGGTTTAACGCTTCAAAAAACACAAGCCATCGATCTAATAACCAAACAGCAATGCTCAACACAACATTTACCTGCTGAGTGGTCCCCCAAGAGCCCCCGCTGCGATGTCGCCTCCTCTTCCTCGGCTTTTATTATTAATGAGCGCGATTCTGTCTGCTCAGCTTTGTGCACCGACTCCGCTTCATCCATACCTGTGCTGTGCCGTGTTAACGTACAGGATACGCACCTTTTGTACGTAGAAATGTCACGACCGAAGGATTTCGTAGATGCATTCGTCGGGTGGCTGACTAAATATCTGAAACGCGCACTCGCCCATTACAGTGTGTGCAGTGTCTGTGTCTGCACTGAAGCCTCCACCGCTCTGCTTTTCTGCTGTTTAAGTAAACTTAACTTTGCGTGACGGTGCACGTCGCGTTTGGCTCCAAGTTGGAGGAGATATCTGTCAAATGCTCGGTGACTTTATGCGGTCTTCTGTTTGTATTTAGATGTTCTGCTTGTCTTCAGGGTGGAGAGCCGAGCTAGGGGCCCCTGGGGCTCCTTTAGGGGCTCCTGGGTAAATTTAAAGAGACAGTAGCGGCGGTAGTGACGGTGCGCCATGGGGCCCTTCTGTTGAGTTTTAGCTTAATTTTTTTTTTGAACCGATAATAACCAAATTGATTGTTTTTGCACAGCAAGATTATTGTATAAATTGGTTATTTTTCTAATGAGATTAGCTAATAAATTTGAATTACTAATGGGCTATTTGTAAAACCAGGGGTGGATTTCACCTATAAGCTAGGTAAGTGGCTGATTAGGGACCCAGGAGATCTGAGTGCCCCCAAATAAATATATACCTAGAATTGTAAATTATACTTTGAAAAATGATGTTATATATAATTTATTTCAGATTTTATGACAAGGGTCTAAAAAAAAAGTTGAATTTTTATGTAATATGAGGATATGTATCCCCCACCCTCAATCATGGAAAAGCCCAGCAGTCAAATTAGATAAAGATTTAGTTTTAAAAACTAAATAGTTTATGTATCATTTTTAGTTGTGAATTTATTTTAAGAAAACAAGCCATTTAAAACATTTACAAGATGATTTACATGTTGTAATTATTATTTTGCATTAAGACAAAGTGTAGAAAAAGGAGATTGAGTGATATAAGAAAAAAACAACAGCAAAATAAATCAATTAGATATAAAGCACAAAAGGTGCATTTTAGAACTTTTGGGCCCCATGGCCGGAAATGCTTGGGACCCCTGAATCACTAAATCCATCCCTGTGTATAGGTAGTGTTTTTCAACCAATTGTTAACTTCCGGTGAAAGGTTTCTGTGACTTTTTAAAATTTTAGAAGGTTCCTTTTACAGCATCAACATCGTAATGTTGGCTAATTTAAAGACAATCAGTTAAATACACTTAAGCATTCATTTAGTTGTTCAAGCATAAATTGAGATGATAGACCTTGCACCGTCAGTACCAGCAGACCAAAGAGCAGAAACTCTATTCAAAATACTGGGCTAAAATAAATGTTCACATTTTAAAGAGATGGCAGGGGAAAATGGAATTTAATGCAGTGCTCCAGTCTGAGACCCACTTTGTATCAAATATCTATTAGGCAGTGAAGATCACTTATTTTTAAAGAAAACAGACCTTAAACATGGCGATTTTGTATTGGAATGACAGTTCACCGGACGCTGCCGGGCTTGATGGCTGAAAATTAAAATTCTGTGTGCATATACAAATTACCAGATGTGTTTATGCATTTAGCACTGCTGTTGAAATTGCTTATAAGTGTTTAATTTTTATAACAGGCAATATAATATTAATAATGTTTTTTTTTTAATAATTAGATGAGCATTCGATTTTTTTGGCTTATGGTACTAATATTAGGCATGATGACAATATGCTTAACTTAAATAATCCAATTTGTTTAATAATAGATATATATTTGAACATAATATATACAGCTATAATATAAAAACTCTTTTTAAGCAAAATACATGTGATTACGATGCAATATTGAAAAATGACACTTTATATTTATACTTGCATATATTTATTCACTTACATTTATTTAGTTTGTTTTTAATTATTTATTAATGTATAATTTTATTATAAAATTTAATTTTAGGCAAATTTTAGGTTTTTGTTATCTGCAGGATGCACTGTTAAAGCAAAAGACGTTAATTTATCAATTAGCTATTGCATGCATTTTATAGTCTATATGCTTTAAATAATATAATGTCATATTGGTAAATGATATTAATTTGGGCCTATGTTTAATCCTACTCTTATTAAATAAATCGATTAAACACATCAATTGAATTAAAATAATTTTTATTTTCTTTGTTTTTATTTGTGTGTTAATCGAAAGCCAATGCAAAGTGATACCAAGTGAAAGTTGGTCAGGCATCCTTTGGATAATAAAATATAATAATAACAACAATAATAATAATAATAAATCTAGTTGTAAACAAAATACACTTTTTAGGGGGAACTTATTGTGTAATGACGAAAAAAATACACTTTATATTTATACTTGCATATATTTATTCACTTGCGTTTATTGAGTAAATTTTTTAATCATTTATTAATGTATATTTTTAATATTAAATTGAATTTCAGGCTAATTTGAAGTATTTTGTTATCTGAAGGATGCGCTGTTATAGCAAAGGAAGTTAATTGGTCAATAGTTATTGCATCCATTTTAAAAAGTGTATGCTTTTTATAAATAATGTAATATAAGTGAATGTGGGCTGACGCAGTGGGTAGCGATGTCGCCTTACAGCAACTTGCTGGACAAGTTGGCGGTTCATTCCGCTGTGGCGACCCCAGATTAATAAAGGGACTAAGCTGAAAAGAAAATGAATGAATGAATAATTGAATGCCATTGTTAAATTGATTTGGCAGAATTTTTAATCCTTATCTATTCAATTAAATTAAATGATGAATAAGACATTTCCCTTTCTTCATTTGTTTAATTTTTGTTTTAACTGAAAGCCAAGGTGTTCGTTAAAATGCAATAAGTGCACAGCAAAGTGGAAGTTGGTCAGGCACCCTTTGCTAGCCATTCTTTGTTTACGTTGTCAAATGGCACCTTTTCGTGAAATTACCTCATTGTTTACTAGTCGTTTAAAATTCTCAATATATAAATCTATAATATTATAATAACAAATAAAAATAATACTAATTTAGTTATCCGCAACGGATCCCTAATGTATTTTTAAAAGCAAAATGTAATTGTTTTCAGGAAGCAAGGGACGCTGGTGCTTTAAGGCTCTCCGTACACGCACACGCTTTACATCCTGGTACTTTCTCCGTTGTCAAGGCACCGCAAGAAAGAAAAGCTGCACCAGGAAGAGACTGCGATGTCCTGAATCTGAGCTTAAAGAAAGTTTAGGTGTTAATACCAGGTAAAACAAACGCATGTTTAACGAACTTGTCGTCAGGTCACCTAGTGCTTTTAACGTTACAATGAAAAAACGACTGTCCGCCACAGCCGATAGAAACGCAAACAGCAGCTCACGAGGGCAGAGCAGGAAGACAACATTATCTTTGTCATACATTGAAGACAGTGATAGCTCACTAAAATCACGACATTTGTTTTAATATGATGCTGTTTTTTATATTTTTTCACATTATATTAACTCGTTTATCAATTAACTTATAGGCTCTTATCAAAACGCCAGTGTTGGTCGAAATAGAAAACAGCTATATTGACTGTGAGATGAGATTTAAAATGATAATAACTTGTTTGCCATGTATTTGAGCTTTTTAAATACAGTTAACACACATTACACCTTACAACACATTTGATTATTATTAGAATATTTATGTTCTAATACTTGTGTAGAAACCCCTTTCTTTAGCTACAGATTAAATCCTATCTCAAACAAATGGTTGAATTAAAATGCAAATCAGGCAAATGTTTACTCACGATCGTGTTGCTCCAAACCTGTATGTTTTTCTGTATTTTGTGTAATGCAGAAAAACATATTTTGCAGATTGCGCAGGCTGCTCTTTATCAATAAGTGAACGTAAACAGGACAAGTGGCTGTAAAGCTTCAAAAATTAACCAAAAGAATGTGAAATTTAAATAACTCTTATGGTAGGCTACTGTTTTGTTCTAATAAAGCGATCTACTGATTTTATTCTTCATATGATTTGCATTATAATTATTGACTAAATGTAAGCTTTCTGAATATAAAGTGTCAGTAGTTTTGCCAGTAGCTTTATTATATGCAATGCAGTGCAATTGTTTACTTCCCTATTGCATAATACATTTGACCTATAAGAACAAAGCTGATACATCACTTGGGAGCTCATAGTCTGACACTCTGGCAGTGATATTTACATTTATTAATATTTGCTCTTGCTTTTTATGCAAAGCAGTTTGCAAATTAGCAGTATCATATTTTAGTGACAGCATCCTACTGAAATATTCTGCACATACATTAATATTAAGTACGGTCTTGGACCATATTCTTAATGAGTGTCCCCATTTGTTCTGTAGCATAGTTCTAAACCAGAATGTCCAAACTCAGTACTGGACGGCCAGTGTCATGCAAAGTTCAGTTCCAACTCCAATCAGACACACCTGAACAAGCTAATCAAGCTCTTATGCTGCGGTCACACTGTTTCAGCATGCAAAATTCTATTGTATGGCGCTGCGAAAAGGGGCTGGATTAAACAAGATGATTGGACATTTAAAAAAGCGATAGCTTGGTCTATATTATAAATATCTGTTTTAAAGAGGTCATGTTTTGATCATCGATTGGTCTCACGCAGTCACGTAATGCGATTTTGCAGGATGAGTTCACCAAGCTTGAACTTTGCAGTGAAGTGAACTGCAAACTTGTGTTTTTAGTCTGCCGCATTCACGTGCGTATTTCAAGAGTTCACACTTGGCTGATGATTTATAAAAGCTTGTTTGGCATGCTGTCCCGGGAGAGAGCCCCGAGCTCAAGGGCTCCTCGAGCCCGGGGCTTCCTCCCGTTGGCAAAGCGAGAGGGGAGCCTGAGCTCGGTGGATCTCAGAACTCCCCTGCTGCGGTAGCTAAGGGAACACAAGGGGTTAAACAAAAGCTTGATTGTTATGCATGTTGAATGTCTTTGGATGGTGGGAGGAAACTGGAGAACCCGGGGAAAACCCACGCGGACACGGGGAGAACATACAAACTCCTCACAGAAACACCCACCGGTCCTGTGGAACCAGGGCTGGCAGTGTTCTTGCTGTGGGGCTCACAGTGCTAACCACTGGGCCGCCGTGCCGCCCAATCAGAGGTAAAGGAAGAGAATAGGGGAGGAGGGGGGTTTCTTCCAAACGAAGATAAAGTGAACCGAAAACTCTGGCTATTTATAGTAGCTTTGGGCTCATATGATTGGAAGATAGTGATTAGCAAATGCGAGACCGGCCGTGATAAATCATAAGCACGTGATCCTCTCGAAATTAGTTTATGAATAAACTTCACTTATTCGATTCAATTCAATTCAGCTTTATTTGTATTGTGCTTTTACAATGTAGATTGTGTCAAAGCAGCTTCACATAAATGGTCATAGTAACTGGAACAGTGTGGTTCAGGTTTTAGTGTTTAAGTTCAGTTCAGTTTAGCTCAGTTCAGTGTGATTTAATCATTACTGAGAGTTCAAACACTGAAGAGCAAATTCATCGATGCGTAGCTCTACCAATCCTGAACCATGCGAGGCAGTGGCGACAGCGGAGAGGGAAAAAAAAACTTCACCTGATGGGAGTGAAGAAAAAAAACCTTGAGAGAACCAGACTCAGTTGGGCACGACCATTTTAATTTCTCCGCTGGCCAAAAGTCTTGTGCAGAGCTTCATTCGCCGTGGTTGAGGCTGGAACTTATGGAAGTCAATAGGGAGGGGAAAAGTCTAGTGTGACTGCAGCTTTATAGGCTTTCTAGAAACATTCTTGCAGGTGTGTTAAAGCAAGTTGGAGCTAAAATCTGCAGGACACCGTCTCTCCAGGACCGAGTTTGGACATCCCTATTCTAAACCAAGGGTGATTAACCCTGTTCCTGGAGATCTACCTTCATGCAGATATCACATCAGTTGCAACCCATATCAAATACACCTGCCTGTAATTATCAAGTGCGTTTCAGGTCCTAATTAGGGTTAGAGGTGAACTCTGTTAAAAGGTAGATCTCCAGCAACAGGGTTGAGCACCCCTGTTCTAAACTAATAGAACATCGGTGCTTGCCATGCAGTGCTTGATGTTCCTGTAAATTCAGTTCAGTATCTCAGACACAGCATGTGGGGCACAATTCCCCAAAACTTTCCTCAGACTTTCCTTTTCCCCATATAGATAATTGTTCAGTACCTGTCATCTTTATAGCTACATGCGTTGGATTTAGTTGCATTTTGCATAGACTGATTTTATGTGGCCGCCATTTTAAAAGCCCGGAAGTATCGCCTGGAGTCACACTGGAACGTTGTGTTCCTGGCTGTATATCTTATCAGCGAAGAGGAAGTGACACAAATTTAACATTTTACCGCTTTCCGAGTGACCCGAAGGTCGTTGTGAATGGATAGTGAAAATAAAAAGGGATATCGGACCTCATTTTCAGCTAAGTTAAGAAGTTAGGGGAAATGACCCTTGTTAGCTAACGTTTTCATTCCCAAATGCATGTTTTAGATGCCATTTATCAAACTCAAATTAATGAACTGATTCTTTCACTTTATTAGACTTGTCATGATACTGAATTTTGGTACTGAAAAAAACCCTTTCAATTGCCAGCTAACATTTAAGCACTTTTAGCGCGTTCTTAAACAGCGCTGATTTGCCATACTATTCACCAGTTCTCAACAGAAATGACTGTGATTGGCCATGAAGGTCATCAGTTCACTGCACTTCACTTACAGGGTGCAACCACAGACGAGCGATCCACAGATGATTTGACTGATGTTTGCAGCTTTAAAACGCTCCAGTGTCTGTGTATCTGTGTTTGCACTCGGGGTGACAAGCGGTGAACCGATGACCTTCACGGCCAAATCACAGTAATTTCTGTTGAGAACTGGTGAATACTGGCAAATAAGCAGTGTTTATCAAAGTGTTTAAATGTTAGTGGAAAATGGACATTTTTAAAATTTAGTACCATGACAACGCTATTACAGATAACACGAGAGTGTGCTACAGAGGACTGCATCGTTTTGTCGCTCTCCAGGTTACAAAGGCTGAAGCAGGGAAGCGTCCTTTAGTATAGGCTACTGTTCATGGCACCAGGTAGACACCATAAAGGACACTTAAGCGTATTACCCTTACAGAGATTATAGTTTTGTTTGATGATGCCTAATATACTTTTAATTGTTTAAATGAAACTGAACTAAATTATATTAAAGTAATGTTTACACCACACCTGCACTTTGAAATTGAGGCAACAGCATGTTGTTGCAATGTTTATAGTGCTGATCCTTTACTTCCGAGTTTCTTCCCACCGTGACTTTGTTTTGTAAAATGGGGGCCGCTTGAAAAAAGCATATTGTTTGCTGTGTAAAGTGTTCTTATTGACTGTTTCTCATTTGTAGGTTCTGTGTTGGATTAGTTGTGTTGGAGAAATGTATGGTGGCCCAGTTGATGTTGGATGTGCACCCTTTTCATGCCCGTGGAGGTCTAGAATGGCCCTGTTTTTTTAAATTATTTAAATTTTAAAATTTTCATTTTATTGCTGCTGAAGGTTCAGTATTAGCTCACATTCTATAATTTACAAATATTTCCCTCGTCATTTTTAAAGTCTGATTATGAATTTTGTGTGCTTTTTTTCCCCTGCAGGTCACTTACTCCTACTTTATTTCAGAAAAATATACAGTATGCCTCAAGCACTACATGCAAAATCCATCTACATAAAACACTATGAGAGTCTGCTTAACCTAAATTAAAGATGTGACCGATCAGAAATGCTGTTTGGAGCAGGTTCTGTTCTGCCGAAGAAGACATACTTTAGTGTTTGACATTAAACAGCAGTTTGATGATGTTGTAACCAAAGCGCAAGCATGTCCAGAAAGACTACGTCTAAACGACATTATAAACCATCAAGTGAGATTGATGATGCAGCTCTCGCTCGCAAAAGGGAGTATTGGAGGAGCAAGAAACGAGAGCAGAGGGCAAGAAAGTCATCTGCCAAAAAAAAGATTGGCGATGAAAACCTGAGGTTGTGCAGGTCTGTTGGTAGGCATGAACCCTTCGTGCAGATTCCCAGAGTTAGTTGTGGTCTTCCTCTACGTAATTGTGACGTTTCATGCAAACTGGAGGAGGCTGACATTTCTAAAAACTTCTTCAACTCAGGTCTATTAGTGTCTGAGAGAAATGTTGCTTCAGTGACATGCCAAAATGATCGATGGTTTCAAAAGACTAAGCTCAACCATGTCTTGCCTCAAAACATCCAAAAAACAAGCACCAATTCCATGAAGGGCAGTAAAAATATAACAAGGTCATCAAACACAGATGCTAAAACAGTTGAGTTGTCCAACCCTACAAGCCATCTGGCACCGACAACATGCTTAGAGTTGTATCCAATGAGGACTGGTGCTCAAAAAACAGGAGCGTCAACCCTAAATGGCAAGCAATTAGCAATGTGTCCGCAAAAACATGCATCTGTGGTTTTACCAGTGCACAGCAACCAGAACTGTCTCAAAACCTTGAACATTTCAAAATGTAAAGCTTATGAAATCCTTAACAGTCATAAAACTAAGAGACGAACAGGTGCCTTTGCTTCAAAGCACAACGCTGGAGTGACTATGACTGAAGAAGAGACCGCTGCAAAGCGCAGAGAAATTTGGCGCATTAAAAAACGAGAACAAAGAGCAAAGCTGGCTGCGAGGCTGGCCAGGGAAGGAGAAGGGAGTCTCGGAAAAGCACTGCCTTCCTGTGTTGGTATCACACACGCTTTGTCTCCTGCTTACAGTAAAGCTTTGAGAGGAATCAAATTCAACTCCGTGAATCCCATATGCATCAATCAACAGCCATCAGGAGCAAAATTGTATAGTTTTCGGACAAGAAAACAACAAATTCAAGGCACAAAACTTAACCATGCATCTTTATCCTCTTGTATTTTGCAACCATCCTCACGTGTCATCCAACCTCTCAACAAATCCAAAGTGCCAACATTTGCGCATACTCAAACACGTCAAAAGCAAATGAGGAAATATTTTCTTGGTGCTTCCAGATTTGAGTCTCCAGAGGATCAGCACGCCAGGCAGAAGGAGTATTGGCGAATTAAAAAGCGTGAACAGAGAGCAAGGCTAGCTATGGTGATGAAAGCACGATTAAAGGAACGAGATGCAGTGAAGCATCAAGTGAGATCCCATCACGCCAGCGTCAAACAGATGTGTGTTCAAACAAGCAAAGCAAGTGCACTTGGAAGTTCTTCACAGACCATTGGTGGCTTTATCAGAGACGACAGGACTATGATGGGCTCCATTTCAAAGGGTTCTCCTGAGGCTTCTCTGTCTGTAAGTTACAACTTTTCCTGTACAAAAAGGATTGTAAAGAGTAAAGTAGGCTCTCTCCTACATTCATATGCTCAACCAGCCACTAAGCTAGTTTCTCCTCAATGTAGTTTTTCTACTAACCCTCATCAAGGCTCTTTGGTAAAGTCTAGGTTAGCCAGAGATGCAGTTAAGAGCAGTACGTCAATCACAAATCAGCCAGAAACCCTAACAGAAGAAGAAAGAATCACCCGTTTGAGGGAGTACTGGAGGATCAAGAAACGAGAGCAAAGGGCTAAGCGGGCTGCTCGACTTAGGAATGGTCTGCTTAGATCCAAGGTTTTAGTGTTAAAGCAGAGAGAGCAAAACAAGAAGTCAAACCAAAGGCACAGTATTACTTCATCTGTTTCCACTACAGTTTGTGAGTCCTCAACCACTACGCCAACTCCAATAAAAGAAGAACACGTCTATCCCTCTATAAATGCTGTCTTTTCCATCCCAAAAATGAATCCCTGCATCGGTGCTAAAGAAACACCCGCTGATCCTCCAACAGCTGTGGACCATCAAGACACCACTCTGCAGGCTGTGGCATCTATGAAGAAGCTTCTGGAGGAATTAGTTGGCACACCAAAAGATAATGCTATCGAAATGCATGTGAAGAGTGAAAATGAGCCTGTTCAGTTGACTGAAGATACAAAGCCAGACATTACCTTACAACAAGACGTATTAGAGTGTGACATCTCTGCAGAAACAAGCTTTAAAGTGGTCAAAATGAGCCCTCGAGCATCATCTCTTGAAGACACCAGTCATCATAAATCTCATAATGTCTGTGAAGAGGTTGCAGATGAAAGCAGTACATTTTCTCCAGAGGCTCAGTGTGGAAGCATGAAGAAGTTTAATGATGATAGGGCAGATCTCATGATGTCCTATCCTTTAGAAGCCTTGCAAGAGCAGGGGCTTGGTGAGAGTGATGAACTTCAAAGAAAAAGAGAGTATTGGCGGTTGATGAAGAGACAACAGCGGGCCAGAAAGGCCAACAAAGAAGCAGCTATTTGCAGGCTGGCTCTACAGGTGGGTTGCATTGATATTTGTTTTTAAATTCTGTAAAGGGTAAGTTCACCCGTAAATGCTAATTCTGCTATTAATTACTCAGCCTCATGTTGTTTAAATCCCCTGACACCTTCAATCATCTTCAGAACATGAATGAAGATATTTTACATGGAATCCAAGAGCTCTCTGGCCCTCCATAGACGATCAGTCCTGAGAGTTCAAAGTTTAGGTAATAAACCAAAAACCTTGTCAAAACATTCAATGTGACTTCAGTGGATCAGATTTGTTTGCCTGTGTCTTCTGTGTCAGGTCTGCAGGCAATACGATGCTGGTGTTTCATGCTGCTTACTCTAATGGTAAATACAGTGTATTGCCTATGGTAGTGGTTCTCAAACTGTGGTACTTGTGCCACTAGTGGTATGCGGGCTTCCTTCTAGTGGTACGCGGAGGAATCAAATATGTCATATATACATGCAAGATATATTTCAAAATTTATCACAAATGATTTATATATGAATATGATGACATATAGCCTATATTTATGAGGCCCAAGCAACATTTCCAGGTTGATGAATAGGCTACTATATGTTAATACTTTACATTTAAGTCAGGAGTTTTTGATTTTTTAAGAACAGTAGCCAACCATTTTTATTTAACGTTTAAAAGCACATATAATTAAAACGGTGACATTTTATTTTGGCTGTTTTTTTCCTTGTAAGCAAAATACAGTGTTAATGTTCAAACTATTTATAATGTTTAAAGTGGCTGACAATAATAAATGTTCTTAATAATAGGAATTAATCTGCCTGGTTTTTGAACTGTGCAAAGCTGTGGGTGCTTAAGTAGGCCTACTAGCTACTGTATTGTAATACTGGTCATTATGGTGGTACTTGGAGAGACAATTGTTTTCTGAGGTGGTAGTTGATGAAAAAAGTTTGAGAACCGCTGGCCTATGGTAAATGTGCATCCTGCCCAAATGCAGAAGAGGAGACTTTGGTGATCAAATGGAGCCTTTTCATGTTTCTCAGTTGCGGAAGTCGTCATAGTTAGGTAAACTTAGAGCGCAGTGAATGGGAGATAACAACAAATGCAATTGAATTTAGTTCATCTTTACTTCTATAGCGCTTTTACAATGTAGATTGTGTCAAAGCAGCTTAACATAGAAGATTATATTAGATTGAAAAAGTGTCAGTTCCGTTTTCAGAGTTGAAGTTCAATTTAGTTCAGGTCAGTGTGGTTTAAATTCCACTGCTGAAAGTCCAAGCACTGAAGAGCAAATTCATCGATGCACAGCTCCACAAGTCCCACACTAAGCAAGCCAGTGGCGACAGCGGCGAGGAACAAACTTTACCAAATAGCGAAAGTAAAGAAAAAAAACCTCTAGAGAAACCAGGCTCAGTTGGGCACGACCATTTCTCCTCTGGCCAAACTTCATGTGCAGAGCTGCAGTCTAGGTGCCGGAGGCTGGAGAGCACTGGAGGTCCATCATGGAGAAACTGCAGGTTGGAGAGGTCACCTGCTGGTGTAAAGGCTGGTCCTTCAGGATCAATGCAAAGACTCGTCTGTCACTGGGGTCTTACAGGAATCAGTCTCATGCTCTCCAGTCCTCCATGAACACCACAGCAGCTGCTCAGGATATGGCCTGGTCCAGGATTATGGATATCTACATGTTATGCATGTGTATATATATTCATTTTTTTTCGGCTTAGTCCCTTTATTAATCTGGGGTTGCCACAGTGGAATGAACCGCCAACTTATTCAGCATATGTTTTACGCAGCGGATGCCCTTCCAGTTGCAACCTATTTTTGGGAAACCACCATACACACTCATTCACTACAGACATTTATTTAGCCTACCCAAGTCACCTGTGCCACATGTCTTTGGACTGTCTAGGAAACTGGAGCACCCAGAGGAAAACCAAGCGAACGCGGGTAGAACATGCAAACTCCACACAGAAACGCAAACTGATCCAGATGAGGCTCGAACCAGTGACCTTCTTTCAACTTTCAAGGATTGAAAAGGGAAAATATTTATTTTCAAAATGGGGTGGACGTAATTATGTTGAGCACTGTATATAATTAATGTGTAATATTTTTTCAGCAACTGTTAGTTCTGTAATGTTTGCTCCTGTTTTAGACTCCCACCAAGAAACAACCCAGCACAACTGTCATGCGAGATATTTCCCAGGACACTTCAACATGCAGACTGTTTCCATGTCAGAAAAGAGCAAGAAGTTGCACTAAACCTGTAGCAGGTCTACAGACACAGTCTTCAAATAAATCAAGAACCAACAGAAGCCAAATAACGGCAACCCCAAATCCACAAGAAGATTCAGAAGAGGTCATACGCAGAAGACGCATGCAATGGAGGATCAAGAAACAGGAGCAGAGAGCTAGAAAAGCAGAATCTGAGAGAAAGCTACGCCAGATGATGGCTACTCCACATAGCCAGGCTACACAGGTAAATTTATATTATGTTTAATATAATTTATGTACCGTGCTATTCAAATGTTTGGGCTCATTGAAGTTATTTAAAAAGACATTGAGATTTGTCTTCAACAAGGATGCAATGACATTGCACAAGATTTCAGATTTATGCAGTTATTTTAGACTTCATAAAGGGATCCTGAATAAACTGTATCACTGTTTCCATAAAAATATTAAGCAGCAATCAACATCGAAAGTAATAAGACATGAAGAGTTCAGATGCAAAAGCCGCTAAACGTGACTTCCGCAGAAAATGAGCTAATGACATTAAGGGAATGCTTTAGGCATGTCAACATCAACAAATAAATTTGCTTCAAATCAACTAAATCCCAGCGTCAGCGCCTTCAGAAAAAAACTGTTGGCAAAAGCATCTAAGCGCCACTTGCCTTTGACAGCAAAAGCCACTATATCCTGAGAACCAATCAGAAGGCGCGAATCAAATCAAATTTTTTTCAATGTAAGGCGCGATGATATGCCGGCTTTATGAGGAGACTGTTTTATTCCGCTTCCAATTTAAATTTTAAAAGATGGAGTTTGATGAACTGGATGAGCCTGTGTGACTGAAAAAGAAAAAACACTGTACAATCCGAAGTGTAACATGCATTCATAACGTTTTTTTTGCACAGCAACGCTACTTTGAATGAGTCCAATTTACTATACATTTAACGGCAACTGAGTTTCACGAAAGACGAAGTTAAGATGCTGTTTTTTTATCCCACATGGATGCTATGAGGATAAACAAGAGACCAAGACACCTTATGTACGGTGGGAATGAATGCATGACAGCTTTTAAAATTGCATCTTCTTTTTGCCCAGTAGGCCTACCTTGTGTTTTATTAGCTAATGTAAGCTGTTGTTTAAAAAGATAACTATATTGTATAAAATGTAACATTATTTATATTACTTCATATTACCTTTACGTCTGATAAGCGTTTTATATCAATAGACAATGCACAGATATTGATATTTCACAATTTTTTTACACAATGTTTTTACACTACATTATTTGAATCTAAGAGGCTTAGTTTACAATGTTTACATTGCTCTACTTACATTAAATCTAAATCCCAAATATTAGAAATGACAACAGATTGTTCAGATTTAATTAATGTCAGTTTTAATGTTATTGATTAAAGCACTTAATTGATAGATTTCATTCATTTTCCTTCTGCTTTTTCCCTGGTTTATCACAGCGGGATGAACCACCACTTCTTGACAGATTGATGTATTTTAGGTGGTATGTGTAATGTGCTTTATAATTGGTAAAATTATTTCTAATTGCATGTTTGGTGATTTTTCAACTAATTACACTGTCCTGACTCAGTAGGTGGATTTAGAGGTTTTTGCAAAAGAAGCACAAATGGATTTAGCTGGTTTTGACGAAAGGGAAATCTACCTTGTTAAAAACCAAAGAATTGTCTAAAGTGACATTTTTGAAAAAAAGTTATTTTATTTACCAGCTAATAACCTTATCATTACATATAAAATGAAACTTCTAAACCTAATTATAGGAGCCTGATAGAAAATGCTTAGTTACAAGAAAGAGGTCTGATGGATTTAGAGGGTTTTGCATGTGAACTATTCATATATAGAATGTTTTTAAAATAATCATATGATTGCAATATTATTTCACAGTAGGCTATTACTAGTATTTTTGTTTAAATAAATTGGTAACGTTTACAATAAGATTGTATTGGTGAATGTTAGTTAATGTATTTATTTTATTTTCGACTTAGTCTCTTTATTAATCTGGGGTCGCCAGTATTTACTAACATAAACAATATAATTATTACAGTATTTATAATCTTGTTAATGTTAGTTTGTGGAAATACAGTTGTTCATTGTTAGTTCATGTTAAAAAGCATGAATTTATATTTAAATAATGCTTGAACTATGATTCATGAATAACTATGAATAATGCTTGAACTATGATTGAACTATGAACTATGATTAATAAATGATGTACAAGTATTGTTCGTTATTAATTCATGTTAATAATTACATTAACTAATAACTCCTTATTGTAAAGGGACCATTAAATTCAGCATTTGTTTAGCATGAAAGACACAACAAACTATTAAAAAAGTACACAGAGAAAAGACTGGACACATCCCCCTCATTTACAGACTGCACTGAGAGCAAAACCAGACCAAAGTGCAGCACTGCTGTGATTGTGATGCCCACACAGCAGAACCCACAGATCATGCATTTGTTTATTCGTGTGACAAATCTGTCGAACCAATCTGTGGTTTAGACTGCACTGGGCAAACTGATGTGCTTTTCACTATCAGGATGAACAACCACCCATCATTTACTCATCCTTATGTTATTTCAAACTTTAAACTATAAACAGTTGAAGTCAGAATTATTAGCCTCCAGTATATTTTTCCCCAATTTCTGTTTAACTGATTTTTTTCTAAACATAATAGTTTTAATTCTCATTTCTAATAACTGATTTATTTTGACTTGCCATGATGACAGTACATAATATTTTACTAGATATTTTTCAAGATACTAGTATTCAGCTTAAAGTGCATTTAAAAGGCATAACTAGGTTAATTAGGTTAACTAGGCAAGTTATGGTAATTATGCACATCATTGTTCTGGTTTGTTCTGTAGACTATTGAAAAAATATTGCTTAAGAGGGCTTATAATATTGATCTTAAAATGTTTTTTTTTTATTACAAAATAAATTTTATTCTTGCCAAAATAAAAACAATAAGACTTTCTCCAGAATAAGAAATATTATCAGGAATACTGTGAAAAAATCTTTACTCTGTTAAACACCATTTGAGAAATATTTGAAAAAGAGACAAAAATTTACAGGAGGGCTATTAATTTCGACTTCAACTGTCTATATATATATATATATATATATATATATATATATATATATATATATATATATATATATATATATATATATATATATATATATATATATATATATACATACATACATACTCACAATTATGGCTCCATGATATTGGAAAATCAAACATTGCCATGTTTTTTTTTCTCTGCGATATATATATTGTGTTATGAATACAATTTCACTAGATGAGTTGAATAAGTATTTGGAAATAATTTACAATTTTCAATAAATTGGGATGATTATGATTCTGTAGAGGAGTGCATTTGTACAAAATATAATAAACAATCATATAATAAACAATCTTCAAGCATAGAAAAATACAATATTTAAAAAGATCAACTAACATTGCATAGCCTGTGATGTAACTTCTATGAATGATCACATTGTTGAAGTCAGAATTATTAGCCCTCTTTGAATTTGTTTTGTTTCTTTTTTTTTTTTAAATATTTCCCAAATGATGTTTAACAGAGCAAGGAAATTTTTACAGTATGTCTGATAATATTTTTTCTTCTGGAGAAAGTATTATTTGTTTTATTTCGGCTAGAATAAAAGCAGTTATAAATTTTTAAAGCACCATTTTAAGGTAAAAATTAATAGCACCTTTAAGCAATTTTTTTTCAGTAGTCTACAGAACAAACTATCATTATACAATAACTTGCTTAATTACCCTAACCTGCCTAGTTAACCTAATTAACCTAGTTAAGCCTTTAAATGTCACTTTAAGCTGAATAAATATCTAAAAAAATATCTAGTCAAATATTATTTACTGTCATCATGGCAAAGATAAAATAAATCAGTTATTAGTGTTGAGTTATTAAAACTATTATGTTTAGAAAATGGTGAAAAAATCTCTACGTTCAACAGAAATTGGGGGAAAAAATAAACTAGGGGGCTAATACTTTGAGGGGCTAATAATTCTGACTTTAACTGTATATATGTATTCGCCCAAACCATGTAAATCAAACACCACATTGACTTTCATTGTACGAACTCCAAAAATACCTCTCATGTGTTCCACTGAAAAAAGAAAGTCATACAGGTTGGAATTGCATGAGGGTGATAATATACTGAAAACCAAACATCGCAGTATACCAAAACCCTGTAATAATAACACTGCATGCTTTATGTCCCCTGGGGCCCCCAGCTATATCTCGCAGCAGAATTTCACAGGCACGTAAGGGGGTAGACTCTTTTGAATTGGAGCAGTGTTTAGAGGGCCCCACGTGGGGCCCCAGTCATACCTCAGCACCGGAATATTGCCGGAGCATTTTGGAGGCCTCTTTTAACTTGGAGCAGTGTGCAGAGGCCCTGTGTGGGGCCCTGGTGCCTGTAGGCATGTCTGTGCACAGGAATAAAAGTCAGAATAATGTGGTGGTGATAGTGATGGTGGTATGTGTGTTTGTGTGCATGTGTGAGAAATTACCATGTAATATGTCTACATTATGCATGCTATTACTTTAGATTTGATACCAAGTAACTGACTTGAATATTTGCATTTTTTGGAAGGAAATTGGGACTCACTGTTCCGTCCCACCAGTTTCTTAAATTCCCTGGCTGGGATTAATGGTTAAATTGCATGATTTCTCTAGAAAACTTTTCTGTAAAAAACTAATGTCTAAACACTATTCATCATTATTTACATTAATTATTCATGTCATTATTTACTCCCCGTACACTTGTTTTAAACCTGTTTAAATTTCCTTCTTTTGTTTAACACAAAAGCAGGTATTTTGAAGATTTTTTGGAGCCTATAGCCATTGACATACATATATATATTTTTTTATCCTGCTATGGATATCAATGGTTTGTAGTTTTCAACATTCTTCAAACTATCTGCTTTTGTGTTCAACAGAAAAAGAAACTTATAAAGGACCACTTGAGGGAAAATCTATTTTTTTTTCACTTTCCTATTTTTAGTCCAATGTACACTGGCCCTTTACTAGGTACATACATACAGGTGAAGCAAACATCAGGTTTAAATGCATGTAAGGTCAGAAAACATAGTATTATTAATGTAATTTCTGTTATTTCAGAATACATTTTTAATGATTCAATGATTCGTTTTGAATTGGGTATGTAAAGGTATGTAAGATATGTAAAACCTTCCCTTTCTTAAGCTAACTCTGCTGAAGAGTGCTATTTTAAATAATTGATCCTGTCCATGTTGAAACGAAACGTGAGTGAGTGTTCATACATCTTCACAGGCAGAGAGGTATTATGCAAATATATTATATTGATCATGTCTATGTAGATAGGTAACAGGCAAAAGATTTCACAACATGACATGTTAGGGTTATATTTTAGGAGACAAAATATTTATCATGCAGTTTTTTTTATTTCACAACTTTGCAGACTTTGGACATTGAAGGACAGCTGTTACAAATTGCATATAAGATATTAGTCAAAAACCCAAATGACCATGTTTCTTTAATATTTGTTATTGCCATTCTGTGACTAATTGATGTTTAGATAATATGTTTTGTACATTATCCTTACTTTTTTCTTTTTTGATAACCTTCTAGGGTCAGAACACCAGCAGCTTCTGCTCAGCAGTAGTTCTGAGGTGAGTACTTACTTAAATTGACTTAAATTTTTAGTTAAGTAATTAAATGTATTTATTTTTACTTTCAAGCCACCATATATGATGTTTATTATATTATATTATATTATATTATATTATATTATATTATATTATATTATATTTATATTATATTATATTATGTTGTGTTATGTTATATTATATTATATTATATTATATTATATTATGTTATATTTATATTATATTATATTATGTTGTGTTATGTTATATTATATTATATTATATTGTATTATATTATATTACATTATATATTATATTATATTATATTATATTATTTTATATTTATATTATGTTATGTTATGTTATATTATATTATATTATATCATATTATATTATATTATGTTATATTTATATTACATTATGTTGTGTTATGTTATATTATATTGTATTATATTATTATATTATATTATATTATATTATATTATATTATTATTATTATATTATATTATATTATATTATATTATATTATATTATATTATATTATGTTTTGTTTCAATGTACCCTACCATATCAAGGTCAGTAAGTTTTTAAGGGTTCATTAAAATTAAAATAAATTTTTTTAGATGTTAGTATCAGTATGTTGTTCTTCAAAGATATCTATAAGCTAGTTTGGTACATAACAGTGAGAAAATTTGAGTTTTATAGATATAAAACTGATATAAATATGTAAAGTTTGTTGCTTGTCTCTTTAAATCAGGGGTATCCCAACTCAGTCCTGGAGAGCCGGTGTCCTGCATAGTTTAGCTCCAACTTCTTTTAACACGCCTCCCTGGAAGTTTCTAGTATACCTAGAAAGAGCTTGATTAGCTGGTTCAGGTGTGTTTAACTGGGATTGGAGCTAAAAGATGCAGGACACTGGCCCTCCAGGACCGAGTTTGGACACCCCTGGCCTAAATGGATCCACAGTTTCATTCACATCACCTGATACTTCAGTTTTTCATCAAATCTTGACTCAAATGCTCTTTAGTATCGCCCGTCAAGACGCTTCTCATTTGACTTTCATTTGATGTGCTTGAGCTCAAACATTTACATTTACATTTAGTCATTTAGCAGACGCTTTTATCCAAAGCGACTTACAAATGAGGACAAGGAAGCAATTTACACAACCAAGAGCAACAATGAATAAGTGCTATAGGCAAGTTTCAGGTCTGTAAAGTCTAAGAAGGGAAGTATTAGTAGTATTAGTTTTTTTTTTTTTTGTACAGTTAGTGTGATATTCAGAGAGGCAATTGCAGATTAGGAAGTGTAGTGGAGACTAAATAGTTGGGTTTTTAGTAGTTTCTTGAAAGTAGCGAGTGACTCTGCAGTTCTGATGCAGTTAGGGAGTTCATTCCACCAACTGGGCAGATTGAGCGTGAGCGTTCGCGAAAGCGATTTCTTCCCTCTTTGGGATGGAACCACGAGGCGACGTTCATTCACAGAACGCAAGTTTCTGGAGGGCACATAGATCTGCAGAAGCGAGAGCAGATAAGAAGGAGCAAGGCCAGAAGTCACTTTGTAGGCAAACATCAGAGCTTTGAATTTAATGCGAGCAGCAACTGGCAGCCAGTGCAAACGGACTAGCAGCGGAGTGACATGTGCTCGTTTAGGTTCATTGAAGACCACTCGTGCTGCTGCATTCTGGAGCAGTTGAAGAGGCTTGATAGAGTTAGCTGGAAGCCCAGCTAGTAGAGAGTTGCAGTAATCCAGTTTGGAGAGAACAAGAGCTTGAACAAGGAGTTGAGCTGCATGTTCAGATAAGAAGTGTCGGATCTTTCTGATGTTATAGAGTGCAAATCTGCACGATCGAGCAGTTCTAGAAATGTGGTCAGAGAAGTTTAGTTGGTCATCAATCGTTACTCCAAGGCTTTTCACCATTTTGGATGCAGTAATGGTTGCCCCATCCATCTGGATTGAAAAGTTATGGTGTAGGGTCGAGTTGGCAGAAACTACAAGCATTTCCGTTTTTGCGAGGTTCAGCTGAAGATGATGATCTTTCATCCAGTGTGAAATATCCAACAGGCAGGCTGAGATACGAGCTGGAACCGAGGGATCATCAGGATGAAAAGAGAGGTATAGCTGGGTGTCATCAGCATAGCAGTGGTAGGAGAATCCATGTCTCTGGATGACTGGTCCTAGAGATGATGTGTAGATGGAGAAGAGAAGTGGCCCAAGAACAGAGCCTTGAGGTACCCCAGTGTTTAGATGCTGTAGGTTGGACACCTCTCCCCTCCAAGACACCCTGAATGACCTGTCAGTGAGGTAGGATCTGAACCATTGTATAACAGTGCCCGCAACGCCTTCCCTGGCAGAGCTGTGATAAAACAAAATGCTATTGGCTGCTTTTCAGAAGGGGAGGAGCTACTCTGTCTCTTTCTTTTTGTTTTGCAGTTGAGATTACATCAAACATCGGATAAAAAATGTGCACGTTTCAAAGCACTTCATTAGACCTTTTAATAATATATTAAAAGGTCTCTTATCTTTTAAAAACTGATTCATTTTTTAAAATTACACTGTTATAAATGAATTATAAATTATATTTATAAAGACAAGACTATATAGAGCTGGTCTCGCTTTTTTTTTAATTAAAAGCTTTTCACATATATTAAAAAAGTGATTAATATGTTAAAGTTCTCAAATATAGACCCTTTAATTATCTTATTTTTTAAAGATTTTCACACATAATAAAAAAAGTGATTAATATGTTAAGGTTCTCAAAAATAAACACTTTAAAACTTAAAAAAAAATAAACAAACTTTGTATTTTTATGATTTTTTCTAACTCAAAACATTTGAACACTACTTTATAGTTGTTGTTTCTTTTTAATCAAAATGATTGTTAATTTCCTTTCCAAACAGCAAAAACTCAGAAAATCTTAACTGCTCAGATGTGTCCTGCCAGACTGCACTCAAAGGTAGTGTTTATTACAAATTTTCCATTACATATCAAGATTGTTGGGTGATTAATTTTACAACTATTTTTCCATTAGAAGAGGAGTCAAGCTTTGCACTAAACGCTGCAACGGAGCGACATTTATCACAGGCCCAATGGAGAAACGTTTACCTGATGGACTTGGACCCTGTCATCCCGCTGTTGGTGTGTATGGTTTGTGGAGAACAGCAGTACTCGGTGAGTGTCGAAGGGGTAAAGGCTCACATTGAGGAGGTTCATCCTCACACACTGTCACTCGGAGAACTTGAACATCGTGGGATTCTTAATGCCTGGGATAAACAGGTGGCCTTACGAGAGCATTTCATCACTCACCAGCTTCAACAGCAATGAAGAACTTCTACAGGTAATGGGGGAATCTGCATTTAATTTGGAAATAATACATTTTCTGAATACTTTTCTGAAAGTTAAGATCAAGGCCAAGGACTTTGAGTGAACTGACATATTACAAACTGTGGAGGGAAAGACAATGTTGATGTTTTCATTTCACTCATTTATTTTATTCTGATTTAAAAAATGAGAAATCAGCCAGGAAATAGCTAATAAGCATGTCTCAAGGATCGAGACTAGGACCCATTTTTGTAACCAATCGAAATCGACTTAAGGGGTTAGTTTTCCCAAAAATATTGATTATGTTATTAATTCTGGTGACCTGACAAGGAAGTGAAGACATTGGTGAACCAGTGATTTTTACAGAATTTTGGTCATACCACCCAACTCTACAATGACAGACTGTCAACTATACAGTGCATCCGGAAAGTATTCATAGCGCTTTGCTTTTCCACATTTTTTTATGTTACAGCCTTCTCCAAAATGCATTACATTTATTTATTTACTCAAAATTCTACACACTATACCCTGTAATGACAATGTGAAAAAGATTTTTTGAAATTGTTGCAAATTTATTAAAAATAAAAACCTGAAAAATCACATGTATTCACAGCCTTTGCTCAATACATTGTTGATGCAACTTTGGTATCAATTATAGCCTCAAGTGTTTTTGAATATGATGCTACAAGCTTTGCACACAATTTTTGCCAATTCCTCTTTGCAGTACCTCTCAAGCTCTGTCAGGTTGGATGGGAATTGACGCTGTACAGCTATTTTCAGTTCTCTCCAGAGATGTTTAATAGGATTTAGGTCTGTGCTCTGGCTGAGCCACTCAAGTACATTCACCGAGTTGTTGTGAAGCCAATCTATTGATATTTTAACAGTGTGCTTTGGGTCATTGTCCTGTTGGAAGTTGAACCATCGCCCCAGTCTGAGGTCAAGAGCACTCTGAAGCAAGTTTTCATTCAGGATGTCTCTGCATTGCTGCATTCATCTTTCCCCCTATACTGACTAGTCTTCCAGGTCTTGCTGCTGAAAAACATCCCCACAGCATGATGCTGCCACCACCATGCTTCACTGTAGGGATGATGTTAGCCTGGTGATGAGCGGTGCCTGTTTTTTTCTAAACATAACGTTTCTCATTCACTCCAAAGAGTTCAATTACATTTCAGGCGGGGAGAGTCTTCCGTCTGGCCACTCTATTATACAGGCCTGATTGGTGGAATGTGCACAGATGGTTGTCCTTCTTTAAGGTTCTCCTCTCTCCACAGAAGAACGCTGGAGTTTAGACAGAGTGACCATCGGGTTATTGATCACCTCCCTGACTAAGGCCCTTCTCCACCGATCACTCAGATTAGATGACCGGCCAGCTCTAGGAAGAGTCCTGGTGGTTTTAAACATCTTCCACTTATGGATGGTGGAGGCCACTGTGCTTATTGGAACTTTCAGAGCAGCATAAATTTTTCTACCTTCTCCAGCCTTGTGCCTCGAGACAATCCTGTCTCAGAGGTCTACAGACATTTCCCTTGTCTTCATGCTTGGTTTGTGCTTTAACATCCACAGTCAACCCTAGGACCTTATATAGACAGGTGTATGCCTTTTCAAATCATGTCAAATCAACTGAATTGACCACAGGTGAAATTCACAGCAAAGGCTGTGAATACTTCTGTACATGTGATTTTTCAGGTTTTTTATTTTTAATAAATTTGCAACAATTTCAAAAAATCTTTTTTCACATTGTCATTATGGGGTATTGTGTGAAATTGAGGAAATAAATGAATTTAATACATTTTAAAATATTTTAGCAGATGATTTTTTCCCACCACAACGATGCCTCTTGTATATCACATTATTATCCTATGAGAGAAGCCTGTGTCATTTCCAGCCAAAAAAACAAAGCAAAAAAAAACAGAATAAAAGTAACTTGAAGTCAGAATTTGCCTGGGGTATTAATCATTTCAGGTTTGACCATACATCACATATCTGCACAACTCTATATACATTGCGTTGATTTTAATACCTTTAATGTACTTGAAGTTTGCGCTGACATACATTCCTATAGAATTGACAAGTATCAGATTGTGATTGGGTATTAGTAAATACTTGGATAGGATTGGGGCACAAAACCCTGATTGAGACATCACTAATAGCTGATTTTGTTATGGGTATTGCTGTTTAGTAAGTACTATGGTAAATCTAGCAGTAGTACACTAGACTTCTATTATATTCATCATTATTGTCCACTGAAACCTTATTTATTTCTTCTTGCCGTATTGATTAATATCATGCAATGTGTGTGAAGATTTTATTTTATTTTTTACATTGTTTTAAGTACCATCAGTTTTACTATAGAAATTTAAGAAATTAATATGTTCGGAAATGTTGATTGCACTTTTTTTTTCTCCTCGAGGCACTGCTGAGCCCCATTTAAATGTATTTTTAGATTCTGGAAACATTCAAAACCATACCGGGCCTGTAAATGACATAACAGAAATTTAAGATCAGTCTATAAAAACATTCCCACAAACAAAATGAATGCTATTCTGTAATAATAAGAATTGCACATTTTATATTCATATGATAATGATCTTTTTCTTTTTGTAATAAATTGTTGCACTGCATAATGTATATATTATTTTGTACTTCATTTATTGACTTTTCAGGAGCCTCAGATATAATTTATGTTAGACCGCTGTAGTTAATTACTAGCTGAGAGTGTGGTAAATATTTGTGCAGCGTGTGCAAATGTTTGGTTAAACCACATTTTTAAAATAGCACAAGGATGAGAATCATCAAAGATCATATACAGCTTAGCAAACATAATATTAGTCTTTAGGAAATAAGGGAAGTAAACATTAAACTAATTTTGCTTTGGTCTATCTAGTAAATCTTTTGCACCTTTTGTTTGGTTGTTTGTCATTTCAAACATGTTAAAGGGTCACAAAACACATTTTTTGAGATGTTGACAGTCATAGATCTGTCCCCCATGCTGCTAAAAAGACTATTAGGACAGATATTTTGAGCAATTTCGTTCTTCCAGTTTGAAAATAAATTTTGAAGCTACGTCACAGCGATGAGATCCTTGTGTAAATTCCAGTGTGAAGATTGGTTGCCTGTACCGGCGGTGACGTCTTTGAGCTTTTATCGTTAGTTCAAGGGATAGACTTTGTTCGAACCATACAGGGCGCTCTATTGTTAATGAGGTGCAACTTCAATAATATGCATGATAGGCTTCAAAGACCCGTTACAGTGATCAGACGGCAGAGAGATGCCCCGTTGTGCTGCCAACCGTAATTTAAACAAGTGGAAGAAGAATTGTTTGGAGACATGGGTCGTCAGTGTTGTGTTTATAAATGTGCCGCAACAAAGGTTTTGTTTTCAATTCCCCGCTATGAGAGCGCAGTTGGACTCATGTGTGGATTACAGTGGTCTGCTAACATGCATTTGTAAATAAATTTTTTTTTACCCGAGAGCTTTTTGCATCTGGAAATGGTGAAATCCAGATTTGCCACTCCTCTCCTTTTAATAAAGACGCGGCTCCAGTTGGTGTTGATTGTCCTGTCTCTATGGATTTGGTAAGTGTGTGATCAGTGCTCTTAGTTTGTTTATTCAGAGGCAAAGTTAGTTTGTATTATCAGCAGTACTCTTTAAATTTTTAAAGACATACCTTAATCTAAATGATTTAGTTACTACATTTACAGTTTATTATTATCACTACAGTATTATGGACTGAAAGATCCTCTGTAAACGCTGCTCTCCCAATGTAAACATAAGCGGCTTAAACTATTACCGTCGTGTAGAATTTTCGAGAGCATTTTGTGACAGGATAGTCTAAAGTTATACACACACGGCTTTCTGACACTACCTACCGAGCGCATCTAAGTTACAGAGAAATGCCGAGGTTTTTTCCCCCCATACGCCGTGCGGTTTTCAAACATTCCATTAAAACTATACTCTTCAGTAGTTCCTCGCATCCAGTATCTCATTTGTCACAGGGAGCATGCATGAAATGTTCCTGAATGGGAGTGAAAGTGCCAAATTGCAGTTTAAGTCCACAAATTAAGAATTTGGCAATTAATTCGATTACTAATGTCCATTTAAACACACTTTCTTTCTCCCCTGCAAATCCTTCCCTCTTTCGCCACTGCCACCCAAACAGAGCTGGACTCCACTTTCCTGACTTTTTCAAACTAGAGGTGTGAAAACACCCTGCGAAGACAAGGGGGTTTCATGGCCCTTTAATTAGCCTTGCATGCCTTTTAGCAATATATAAACCTTTTTATAAAGAAGTTTTAAAATTTTTGAGTTATTCAAAGTACTGAAGAAATGTTTTATTGCACTACCAGATCAGTTTGTAATATACAGACACTTTGCATAATTTATACAGATCTCAAAAATAACGTGTAACTGAACAAACATCAGTCGGTATCTGGTAACTAACTGAAATGAGACAATACATGAAGTAAATTAAAAATATTTTGTTTAGATTAATGTACAGCTCCCAAAGTCCTCTAGATATTAAGTGAGATCTTCATAAACAGCCCATCCATTGACATGCCACAGTAGAAGGCCAAACTTTCACTGTTTGACTCCTCGTGAGTGTCGAGGTTCCTCGTCATCCTCTATAATTTGATCTGTTTCAGCCTCCTGCTCGGGTCTTTGATGAGCATCTGTTGAGGTTTGCAGTTCTCTTGGTCCAGACTCCAGTCGAAACACTGTAGGAATCTGGCCCAATATGGGACAGGTCTCCTGAAGACCAGAAATCCACTGAGACAGAGTGGCTTGGTCACCCTGGCCGGCCATACACATAGCATAAACCGCCCCCTCTTCCACTGCAGAAACAAATCAGCAGAAATCATTGCTTAAAATTAGGTGATATGCAAACAATTCCATTAATAATCATATTAAGAGATTTATTAAGACTCCTCAGGTTTCACGGATGATTTATTATTCCATGCTGTGAATGCCATGTTTTTGTGTGTATTACTTTATATGCAAATGAGCTGCTTCTCCCCGCCCCCTTTCCAGAAGAGGGCCTTCACAGCTTGTGCCTCAGTTACTCTGACAACAACAAACAAAACATCTGTGCGGGTTTTAAAGTCCACATAAACCAAAAGCTGCGACCATTTTCTTTTGGTTTGTATTGTGCCAGTTCCTAAAGAAACTGAATATTAAATTAGAAAACAGCAGGCGTGGCTTGTTTTTTCTACTGCAAGCTGATTGGATATAGTAAAATAGGCTTTTTATTCAGAAAGATCTGGAAAAAGGTTTCGGGAGAGTTATTACAACCTAACAGACACCTCTCCTCACTATTTCTGTTTGTTGTCATGGTGCTGTTAACAGTTGAAGGGGTGTGGGTTAACGCCCCAACCACGCCCCTCCAACCAATACCCCAAACAGACATAATCTGAGAATTTATTTGAAAACAAAAAGGACGTGCATTTACAGATTTTAATTTTAGATTAATGACATGCACAGATGAATTGTTCACCACCAAATTAGCAATCTGAGCTAACTAAATCAATATGGTTAGTTTGATTTCATAAGTACTTTAAAGCCTTGCTGATTTAACTCTGTTACTAAGCACATAGATACAAAGTATGCACACAGAATTTGGCCTTCAGATGACTTGTTGCATAGAGTATTTTATTATTTTTTTAAATACACAAAAGGTTATGTAGTTTTAACACAATGTTGGTTGTGTCTGTGAATGTAAACAGTTGGGGAAGAAGCTGCTTATGTGTCAGTCAGTATAATAGGTCTGTAAAACAGTGCTTCTTGGAATTAATAAATCGGGTCAGAAATGTTCCATATGATTAGATAATTACATTTTTTTATAGATTTTGTAGATTCACATATTAAACAG